AGGTGGCCATGAAGAGCAGGTAGAGGCGGAAGAGCAGGGTGTCCATCATGTGGCTGAACTTCACCCACAGGTCGACCAAGTCCTGCCTCTGAGTCTCTTCTTCCTGCTGGGCCCTTGTTGACTCAGGGCTCCCATTTAACTCTGCCTTTCTGGGACCTGACACCTTCCCCACCAACTCCACGGGCTCCTTCACACCTACAGAGACAGAGACTCAGCCATGGGCCATGAAGTGCCCCTGGGGAGGGAGGGGGCCAGGAAAGGAGACAGGAGCAGAGAGTGGAGGTGTGGGAAGAGGAAATGTATGCAGGGCTGAACCCTCACCAGGCAGGTGGGTGGGGGTGGGGCCCAGGCCCTTATTTCCCTTCTGGGGTGCAGTGGGGCAGCATTTCCTTGGGCTGGTGCAGCAGAGGAGCAGAGGTTGGAGCCACCGAGGCATGGGTGGGGGCTGGGTGGTGGCCAGGTACAGCAGGTAGGTGATGAAGATGGTCTCTAGCAGGCTGACCACCATCAGGGACAGACACAGGGCAAAGTAGACACCTGAGGGCAAAACAAATTACAAGTAAACCAGGACAGATTCATCTCTACATTTTTCTTAAGACTTTCTCCAAATCCAGTCTTTTGTGGGAACCCCTTCCCTCCTTAAGTGGAGAGACAGCCGGTTCCTGGTTCCCCTCCCTATGCCCTCCTGCCTTTGCTTCCCTGGAAAGTGGGAGGGGCCGTACTGATGAGGGGGATGCCACTGGCTGGAAGTTATTCATCATGAGCAGGAAGACACTGTAGTCCAGCAGAAGGGTCATCTTGAATGGGGCACGATTCTCATTTTCTGCCAGCAGGTAGAAGCTGAGGGCGTCGATGGCAACCAGAAAACCACTGGGCACCAGGAGGTTTATGACGTAGAGGCTGGGCCTGTGCCTGATGGCCACCTGGGGGGAGGAGAGATTGTGGAGAATGTGGCAAATATCCTGATGTCAGAAGGTTCTTGTATATATATATATATATATATTTTTTTTTTTTTTTAAAGATTTTATTTATTTGACACAGAATGAGAGAGAGAGAGAGAGAGTGCATAAGCAGGGGAACAGCAGAGAGCGAGGCAGAGGGAGAAGCAGGCTCCCCACTGAGCAGGGAGCCCAACGTGGGGCTCGATCCCAGGACCCTGGGATCATGACCTGAGCCGAAGGCAGACATTTAAGCAGCTGAGCCACCCAGGCGCCCAGACGGCTCTTGTGTATTTGACTGTAATCCTTGCTGATGTAGTGTTTGGCTGGCTGTAGGATGATTGCTTTAGGTAACACATGCATTTAATTGTATCCTCTACAGAAGTGCCCTGCTTTGTTGTCTAATTTTCATATGGCCAACTTGCTGGGAACACAACAATTATAGACTTTTAGGGGCAAGTAGGGCCCTTTGGACCATCACAGAGATGGCTGCTCCATTCTGAACAGTAGAGCTTTTAAGAGCCCAGCAGCTCCTCCTTTCTGTAGGGTGGAGAAGGGGGAAGGGGGGGGAGGGGGAAGCCCTAGTGATCCTTCTTCAGGGCAGTTAGGATAGAGGGTGGAGTGGGGAGAAGTGCTTGGCCCCCTGGAAATCCTTTTTACATCCCAAAGTGCCTTAGATCAAGAGGAAAATCATAGAGGAACTGGGATCAGAAGTCGAACAGGGGACCCTTGGACTTACATAGAACGTAATCTGGTCATATAGGTTGCTGCCCACCAACATCTTTGGGGTAGCCTTGTTGATGCCCAGGAGCTCCCACTCTCCCTGGGTCTGGATGAGGTTATGAGATGTGTCTGTTATCTCCCACACTTCCTTGTCCATGCCCAGTAGCATGCTGTCCACTATAAGGAAGGCCAAGGGCAGCTCAGTCCAGAAGTGCTTCCAAGCTTCCTGCCCCCAAATTAAATTCCTCCCCCACTGAGCTTCTTTAGCAAATTTTCCTTTCTGTTCTTTTAAGGCAAAGCATCCAGGTTTTCTCAAAAGTGGGTTACAGGACCACAATTCATGTGTGTACAGGCTGCAGCATTGATTTTTTTTTTTTTTTGTTGAAAACAGGAATGAGTCAAAGTTGTTATGGGAACATTAGATATGACTCAAATGTGAGTCAAGAACTTTTGCAATCATTCCTATTTTCCTTCTCCATTCCCTAGTTGTATGATGTTCTTTTAGTGGAATCAAACTTGAACAGCTCAACCTTTTCATAACTACATGCATGCCCATTATAATGATTAATATACCCAAATCTACCACATGACACCTGGTGGCATTCAGTGTTTACTGGTTTAAGTGTGTTAGCTATCAAAATTAAAAGTTTTCAACTAAAGTGAAATAAGTCAATCAGAGAAAGACAAGTATCATATGATCTCACTGATATGAGGAATTTGAGAAACAAGACAGAGGATCATAGGGGAAGGGAGGGAAAAATGAAACAAGACGAAACCAGAGAGGGAGACAAACCATAAGAGACTCTTAGTCTCAGGCAACAAACTGAGGGTTGCTGGAGTGGTGGGGGGTGGGAGGGATGGGGTGGCTGGGTGATGGACACTGGGGAGGGTATGAGCTATGGTGAGCGCTGTGAATTGTGTAAGACTGATGAATCACAGACCTGTACCTCTGAAACAAATAATACATTATATGTTAATAAAAAAAAGTTTTCAGCTAAAAATTGTAGAGCAGGAGCTCTATAGCAGCCCAGGGTCAGATGGGCCTCATTTGGCACAAGGGCCATCCAAGATTTCAAGCAGTAGTTCTTTCTTTTTTTTTAAGTTTGTTTGTTTATTTATTTATCTATCTATTTATTTATTTATTTTAGTAATCACTACACCCACGGTGGGGCTTGAACTCACAACCTGGAGATCAAAAGTCACATGCACTTCCAACTGAATCAGCCAGGTGCTCCTGTAGTTCTCTCTGTCTCTTTTTTTTTTAATGTCTGCCCCGAATCTTGAATAACTAGCAAAACATGTCTTGCTCACCTGTATAGAGGAAGGAACTGAAGGTGAGTGTGCAGTTCTGTTGGTCAAAAGGAAAGTAAAAGATGTCCAGGTTATAGATGCTGGTCACGTGCACTGGCCTGTTGTACTTCATTGGACCTTCACTGTTAGCGAAGGTGGTGAGACCTGGAGGCGCTTGATCCACATCCATGCTGCTCATGAGAGGGAGGGAGTGGGTGCTGGGGTGCCTTCATTAACTTTTTTTTCCCTCCCTTTCCACATCTTCCCTTACTGTGCTCCCCTTTTGATTCTTTCTCTACTGTCACTCTATCTTGTCTCCGGTACATCTCTTAGTGCTTTGTGGCAGTCAATTAATTGAGGCTGAGCCCCAGTCTGAACCTTCTGATGTTCCTGTGCTCTGCACTGACCCAAGGCTGCTCTTTGCAGATGGGCTTCGTGCTGGCTTTCCCCAACTCCCCCGCCCCCGGCCCCAATATGCACGATTCCAAAATGAAGATGTCTGAGAGCCACAGGTTTTCAGCCGAGACAGTGAGTTTTTTGAGGCTGACACACTCTTCTGGATTCCAGCTGATGAAGGGATTGTCCCACATCTGTAGCCAGGGCAATGGGAAACAGAGATGAGCAATGCTGGAGTTTATTCAGTCAGCTTCTCCTGCCCCTCCCATTCTTCTTTGAGCTCTGATCTTCTTTCCCCCACTCATGTCCCTAATGACCCCAGCCTGTCTCCCCCTTCTTTATCTCGCCAAGTGTTATTGGTAAAGTACCCTGTAATCACCTTTTTTCCAGGCAGACCTTAAGTATAGCCTAAAACCCTTTGGTCCCAGGAGCACACCAGTATGTTGGCCTGCAAACCATTTGGCCATTTTCTTGGACCACCATTTCCGCCTTTGTAAGCTGCCCAGGGAGATGTGTGTGCCCAAGGCCAGTCCAGTTCAAGATGGAGTGATTTGGTCCCACAAAGATTATAGATTTAGTGGAGGTTGGGACTAGGAAACCCCTAAGTTACTCCTCAAATTTATACTTACAAATGAAAGTGGGAAGGGGATAGTTGAATTTGCCTTACCAAATTGACCCACAGGAATGATGTCGGAAGCTGGAGCTGCGCATTCTGGTAAAGAAATTCCCATCCAGCATTATTAGTACAAAAAGACTTTGCCCATGCCCACCTCATATTCTTATCAATATTTACTAATTTACTGGGCCAGGCATAGCTCTAGGTGCTCAACTGTCTTTTCCTTACTTGTCTCCCTTGTATCTAGGGACAATTCAGGTTTTAACTGACATAGAGACACTTCTTCCTGGAACATTCCAGGAAGGGCAGCACTCAAGAAGGAATCCTTCCTGAAAAAATACCACTGCAGCATTCTTCTTTACGTCTCCCCATCCCGTAGGAAAATCCTCTAATTTGTGCAGAATCTATTTAGAGGACCTGTTGTTCACCACTGGACCAGTACAGTGTTGTGTTGACAGGGCAGAGGATCCTCGTTCCCTATTAGAAAAATGGAAAGTGGGGACCAGGTCTCACCACTTCCAGGATGGCAGACAGGGTGAAGGAGATGTTGACATGAGTGGGGATGCTGTAGTTGACGACTGGACGGAAGGCCTTTCTGTCAAACACTGCTTGGAAGGCAGCAGGATCCACCCCGTACTGGTCAAAGCCTGAGCAATTGATGGTGAAAGTGTCACCTCTTCCTGTAGTGAGCAGAGACCCTGTGAGAGAGGGCTTCTATGGCCAGGGCTGAAACCTCTCTGCAGAGAGAAAACAGATGGCATACTGGGAGGAGTGGTGAGCCCTCCTTCCTGGGCCAAGATTCCCCAAGGCCAAAGCCCTTCCTTCCAGGCCAGAGAGGATAGGCTGATCTGGTAGGCAAATGGTGGGAGTTGATCTGGTGAGCTGGACCAGGGCTCTATTCTCATTCCTATTGTTTTGTCCTCATGCAAACCCTACCCAAATCTGTATGTAAACTTGGCCTTGGTACAATGGCAGCCACTTCAATAAGTCCTCAAGTGTACCTATCACAGGCTTCTTGGGTCTACCTAGGAGCCCCTCTCAGCACTGCCTTAAAGCTTGTCATCCGAGTCACTTAGAAATCTGCTATAGTGTATTTCTCTTCCTCATTCTCAGGGACTTATATTTACTGAAGATAAGAACTGATTTATCAAGAAAATAAGGGAAGTTAACAATTGTACTTTCTAGGTAGATATGGGTAACATGTAGCAGGTATTCTGAATTGGTGTGTACCTTGGTGCTATGCATTTATTTTGCCCTTCTCAGACTTAGTGACTTCAGATATCTTGGGATTTATTTCCAGCACTGGGATAATTAGGTGATATCACTGAGGTTATACTATATGCCTATCATATAGTGAGACCTGAGCAGATGTTGTCTCTTGGCTATGACCAGGGAACCATCTTGGTAGTACCTGGGCAGAATCTTTCCCCATTTCCAGCTTTGTGTGATCTTTTGCTCTGCTTGCTCCTCTACAACTCCATCTCTTTCCATAATATTTAAGGTATATACCCAGACTAGGAACAAATATTCCCTCATGTAAGCAAAATATCTACTCCTACCTCGAATTGATTCCTACCCTCCCTCAGTGTTTTACACTTACTCCTACATGGCACATTTAAAATCCATGGCTACTCTTCTCACAGATACAATATTAAGGGAAGAAGACAGGGAGAGTGGGATGAGGGTGTGGTGGGAGGGACACTGGAAGTGAAGGAAAAGGTGGAATTGGAGAGGTAGTGAAGTGGGACAGTTTGGCAGATTCCTGTATGGACAGGAATAGAGAAGGCCGTGTGTACTGATCAGCGGAATGTCTTTCTATCTGCCACACACACACACACACACACACACACACACACACACACACACAATCAAGACACAGATATTAGGGAAGAAATACCTAACATGTTAATTCTGAATGTTCTCCAAGTGCTACAAGGAAGTTCCTAGATATCTTTGAGAACCACATTCTGGTCTTCCCTGTTCTTGCCCCGTCTTACCTGGAAGCAGAAAGCTGACAGTGATGTAGAGGAGGACTCCCCCCTCCACAGGCCACCCCCCTTCCATCCTCCTTTTCTGGACTCTTCTCTGGGGATTCACCAGGAGCCCCCAGACTCTTGAGCTTAAAGGAGCTCAGACCACACCTTGGCTTCTGGTTTTGAATAGTGCTCATGACAGGTGACCACTCCCTGGTGAGAGGTTGTGGCCAGAGAGGGCACAGCAGAGTGTCCTGCTTTGCCCCCGTGCTGGTATGCCTTCCGGGCTCCAGGCAGGGGTGGGAGTTGGGCCAACACAAAGGGAGAAGCCCCTGTTTGGCAGCAAGGTGCTGAGATCAGTAACAAAATAACTTGCCTTAATGAGAGGATGAGGGCTAGGGAAGTAAGAATCAAGTTCTTTTAAGACTAGGGTATCTGCAGATTTATAAAGGTGACAATATTTAGTGATTTGGTTATGTATTCATTAAGGATGATTGCAAATGCCAAATTATAAATCTTGATTCCTGCCTTCATCATCTATTGTCAATATTTCTCCAACAGCCCCTAACAAGATTCCTCCTTTCAACCCCTCTGCCTTTCTGATTCATTTTCCCTAAACCAAATTTTCTATACATTTTTTACTTTACTACATGATAAAAGAAGTCATAAAATTAAGATAGCAGAACCGTTTTTAATGTCTTTGCATTGTCAGTAGTTTTATACATTATCATAAACTAGTAATCTCAGATAACATCAATCTTAATGGCATGTATCAATATTATATCTTATGTGACATCTCTATAGAAAACACAGTTGGACCAAATGAGTGAATTGGAGCATTGTTCTATTAAGTATCTTAGTTACATTTCCAGAAAGGCTTGGAAATTTTTCTCTTGCAGAAAGGGGGAAGGATCAGACCTAGAATACAAAAGAAACTTTGTTTAGAATGGAAGATTATGACAGCCCTAAATAGAAAGAGCTGAGGAAGGCAGGAATGACTGAGAGGCCCAAAGTAAGAAAGCACAAGAGAGACATATTTTCTGTGTAAGATTTGAAATATCTACAGTGCTTCAGCCCCACCAGCTCTGTAAGGCATTTCTTCCCCGTTTTGGAAACTTGGCTAGAGGATTGGGCCATCATGCCATGTAGGACCAAAGTACTTCTGTGTCTCTGGACTCCTGGATTGGCTAAGAGTGAAGGATTTCCTAGTACACTTGAGTTCCACAGGTAGGCTGGCTACCAGACCTTAGGTCTAGGAAAGTGGGGTTAACTTCAAGCCCTGATGAAAGGCAGCTGGAGACCATTGATGGGTATCTTGCTTTTATCAAGGTTGGCTGAAAAACTGGACCTAAGTCTATAAGTTGGACTCAAAAGTAGATTTAGCTGCCGGGAAATGCGTATGATGGAGGCAGGAGGAATAAAGCAGTAAGGCATCTCCTCTCCTGCTCGGTAACCTCACGGAAAGCAGGAGGCACGTCTTGTTCTACCCATCACTCGTGCCCCCCCACTGTCCCCGCCCAGTGGGTGGCACATAGTAGTTAGCTGTCAATAAATGTTAGCTCAGTATCTGGCCATCAGTTCACTGTGGATGGGGAGAGACACACACAGGTACCGTGGGCAGATGTAGGGAAGGTGGCAGGGCACCCCATTGCGGCCCTGAGGCTGCATCAGAGAAGTTGCTTGCTATTCCCGTGGTGTTGCTAAGGTGTGCGCCTCCATCTTGGGTGCCATTTGGTAGAGGAGGGGGTTGGTACAGCCAGGGAGATACAGAGGCCTAGAGCCAGGGCCCAGCCTTTTATTTCTGACTGCCCGCCCGTCTAAGTTTCCAATAAAGGCCTAACCAGAGCTACCATTAACTGAGTTTGTGCCATGGGTGCCTCACTGTGGTAGGCACTGTACTTCCAGTATTCTTATCCTCCCAACTGCTTGGAGAGGTCAGCGGTATTACTCCCATTTTACAGATGAAGAAAACCGAGGTAAAGAAGGTAAAAAAAATCTTGCTCCGTGTCTACTCAGGTAGAAATAGGTAGAATCCAGATTCAAACCCAGGTCTGATTCCACTGTTCTTTCCTTGCTCTTTTAATCACTCCGTAGCTGGGAAGTCATTTGGTCTGGATTATTAGGCCCCTAGTTTCCCACCAGCGAAATCCCTAGGCCTAGACAATGCTTGGATTCAAAGGTAAACAGGAGGACAGGAGCTGTAGTTTTGTAAGTCACAGACACAAGTCACTTTCTCCTTAGCTTATTCCGAGCGGGATCACCCTGCATGGTCCCACTACTCACCTGGGACCCTGGTGGGTCAGGTTTGGGAATATAGCTGTAACCTGGCAAGGGCAGAATGAGGTGGTGGAAAGGGGAAATGGGGGCCATCGTTTGGCAGCCCTGATGGATGGCAGTCACACACACAGGCCATTGGCCAGGGCTAAGGATCCAGGAGTACAAAGGCAGCTACAACATCCAAACTACAGAATGGGTCACTAGCTGGGGTCAGGCTGGCTATGGCATCTGGAGCAGGAGAGGAGGAAGGTCTTGGGACTCTGAAACACACCTGGAAAAAGAGTGCCATGAACAAGTACTCATCTGAGCTGCCATTTTGACAGGCTTAGGCTCTGATCCCAGGCTTTCTTGAAGTATGACAACCCCACACTTATCACTTCATTTTTCTCGCCTAAAAAACGAGGGGGCTGAACTAGAAAGCCAGTAATTCTTTGTGTCTGTGGCCTCCCACCTAGAAGTCAATTTTGCATATTAAGTCTCAGTCTGCATGATAAATAGATGCTCTCTGGTGCATCACATTTGGCTTTCTAGTTTCTGTAAGCTTGTAAATGATTTTTTAATTCCTATTTTAAAAATAATTTAACCTGCTTTTTTAGCTCCACTTCACAAATGAAATTTAAGCTCGTGGGGTGAATCCATTTGTACAAGTTTTACCCAACAAGTAATGAGTCAGATTAGAACCCAAGGTTGCCAGATTCCAAAGTCTCCCTATTATACTATTCCCGCCACCTTGCCTTTTAGAAGAACCAGTGCTTATGAATGATCAAATAGGAGAGGTCACTGAAGGGAGGAGTCAGAAATTGGAGGAGGGAGGGACGCACTCAGATGGTTAATTGTCTGCCTTCAGCTCAGGTCATGATCCCAGGGTCCTGGGATCGAGTCCCGCGTCAGGCTCCTTGGTCAGCGGAGAGTCTGCTTCTCCCTCTCCCTCTGCCTACCGCTCCCCCTGCTTGTGCACATGCTCTCTCTCTGACAAACAAACAAAATAAAATCTTAAAAAAAAGAAAGAAATTGGAGGAGGGAAAGGATGGGCTTGAAATGAAATCTATGACTTCACATCCTAGAGTGGACCTGAAGGAGGAGAGAGAGCAAAGATGGTAATGAGATAATACATGTTAATGTCAGGTTAATATGGAGCTGAAAGAAAATGTGGAAAACATGGAGAAATACTGCCTACAATAGTTTAGAGAAAGGAAGTGAACACAGATGTGTGCAAGAACCACAGGTAGCGCTGCAGATGAATGGACAAGGTGAAGGGCTATCCCGCAGAGACAAGCCATCATGTGCAAGCTAGCCCAGGCAGAACCAGTTGCCTGTTGGCAGATTTTTCTGAAGATTTTCCTAAATTTTTCTAAATTACCTTGCAAAGCCTTTCAGAGGTTTGCCCCATAATAAGAGGAGAGTCATTAGCCCCCAAGTGTGCTTATTGGACACTTTTATTTCTGACTGTTATATTTCGAACAGAAAGGCAGCAACTGTATCCGTAAATTTTCTGGAAGAGTTATGGTTCCAAGGTTCCACACGATTATCATTTGTGTGTTAAGATCGTGTGCTCAGATTTTGCTTGTGGAGAAGATAAAATCACTATAATTATATTGTGCCTTCTCTCGCTGAGAGGAGATCTAGTTTCTTAATTCATGTGTCAAAAAAAACCCACATTACATATCTCCTGTTCGAATAAAACATAAAGCTATGTGTCAGAAAAAATGTGAAGAAAATAAGCAGAAAAATATGTACCATGAAGATGGGTGGGAAAACGAAAATCCCATAAATTGATCTTAAATAATTTCAGGACCCTCCCCCCCAAAAAAGCTGGGTCAATGAGCTTCTTAGCAAAGTCAAGAATGAGTTTCCAGGTGAGATGTCCGTCTTGGGATAGGGCAAAGGAGTAGAAGATCCAAAAGTATCTGGCCATAGAATATGTATGAGCAGTAAAAAATGAAACCCATAGCGAATACAAAGGGAAGGCAGATTTCCCAGATGAGATCTGGGAAAATCTACCCCACAGGAAGCAAATAGTGAAGTTGGCTGTTATGACTTATTATGGGGGTGGAGGGGAGAGGGGAGGAAGACTGAGGGAGGGAATAAAAGGAAATTTGAAAGGAAGTTTGTCTTTGGGACCCTGAGCAAGGCCTTGCTCTTTCTGTCTTGATTCTCCTAAGGCATCAGCTAATGGAACTGACGTCTCAGCACGGGACTCTTAGAGACCCTGTCCAGTTCTCGTCCTCAGTTTGGAGGGCAGTGAGGCGGAGGCTCAGAGTCCAGTAGCTAACCACGGCTCAGTCACTTTCTAGCTGGGACACCCGGGGGACAGCTCCGTGGCTGTCACTTCACCTCCGTGCTTCATTTCCTTCATTTATTTCATCTCCTGTGCCTGCATATATAAAATGGGGGCAATAATACAAACCCACAGCACTAAAACCTAAAGAGCTTTGAAAACCAAATGATTTTTCACAAATTATTTGGTGGCAAAACCTGACCTGAACTGGTGCGAGACTATCCCAATTTCATTTCTGCTCCTTACTGTGAATATTCATAGATTTCACTGCAGAAATGTTAATGTGTTTGATTATAGGGCATTGCCCCATACCCCATACAGTACATGCATGATTATTTCCTTCTTAAAATCTGAAAAATTACAAATTCCAAAACACATTTGGCTCCAAGTGTTTGTGGATCTATAGTTCCTACTTCATAAGGTTACTGTAGGATTAAATGTGGTTATTTATCTAAGACCCTTAGGAGACTGCCTGACACATATTCCTAACTTAATAAATGTTGGTTATTATTATTACCATATTGTGTCCTTTTTAA